GGGGAGGGCAGATCCCCGATCCCGGAGTTAAATTGGGGGAGGAGCGGGAACTCTTCCACTGACTACGCGTTCGCACGTTTGCATCTCTTTGCGGGAACGGATGCGTCACGGAAAGGAAACATACATGTCCCCCGTTACAGGAGGCGCCTTCCACCTCAGTATCCCGGACCCTCAGCAAACGTGCCAATCTCCAGCGTCACCGTACGTGTCCGACATCGGTGCGCAAACCGAAGACCAAAGCACCCGGCGCCGGAACGCGGAGCCGCAGCCTTTATCCGTAAACAGTTATCACCACGGCAACCAGGCTCCGCCAGCCTCCCCAGTGCCGGGTTCCCACTACCTGTGCGCACGCGCAAACAACATTCCCCCCCCTTCCGGGGATTTTCTCTGGACGCGTTTCTCGCGGGATTTGACCCGCGGGCTGCTCCGTAGTCGGAGGCGTGGCAGAACGAAACACGTCAGCGGAATTTGGATGGTGATTGGTTCGCACCTCGCGTTCCCGGAGCTCGGGGCGTCGCGCGAAGGCTGAAGGGAGTGTGGCCTCCTGACTCTTAGTTGCTACCGGGCGAGAGGCTTCGGGGGGGCCCAGGGAGCCGCCATGCCTCGGTACGCGCAGCTGGTCATGGGCCCCGCGGGCAGCGGGAAGGTGAGGAGGCGGCGGAAGAAGTCGGAGTTCGTGGGAGGCAGGGAGGCTCGCGTCCTAAGGAGGGGACCGGCGGGTGTTTGTGTTGGGGACCCTGAAGACCCCGGGCGGCTCGCTTCTGCAGCCTGGGCTTCAGGGCCCTGTTTGTTGTTGTTTTGAAAGGGGAGTAATGATAGTTGCTCGTATTTATTGTATACTTATGCCCCAGATACTGCTCTGAAAGCCTCATTTATTTCCACTACAACCCTCCGAAATAAGCCTTCTTATTCCCATTTTTCCAGATAAGGGAAAAGGCACAGGTAGGTTCTTTGCCCAGGATCACAGCTAGTAAGCGGCGGCTGGAATCCAGTTCTGTCCATTTCCAGCATCCAGGCCTGTCTAGCTCCCAGGGGTTGATGAAGGCCTCGTTTTGTCCTTAGTAGACACTGCTCAAGGGGCGTGGGGGTCCTTCTGTGGGGTGCAGGAGGTAGCACGGCGTTGCTGTTGCTCTGATCCCTTGTGCCTTGTGCCATTGCAGAGCACCTACTGTGCCACCATGGTCCAGCACTGTGAAGCCCTCAATCGGTCTGTCCAAGTTGTGAACCTTGATCCTGCAGCAGAACACTTCAACTACCCAGTCATGGCTGGTGAGTCCTGAGCAGAGCCTTCCGGGTCCCCTGCTTTCATGGTGAACAGCATGAGGGCTGGATGTCATTTGATGGCATCCACTGATGTCGATGCATGTGACCGCTGGTAGAGGTGATTTAACTGTTTTATCTCATATGGTCCTCATTCTTCTAACCCAGGATCTATGATTTGCGCCCCACCTATAAGTAAGGGAAGTGAGGCATAGGGAGGTTAAGTAGTTTCCCTGGGCTCACTGTGTTAAGAAACAGTAATTGATTTTCTTGGTTTGGTTTGGTTTGGTTTTACTTGTTACAGAATAGGTAGTATATATTCACATGGTTCAGAATGCAAAAGGTACAAATACTTAAACAGCTTTTCCTTTTTATGGCTGCATAGGATTCAGTTTTCTGGCTGTATAGTAATTTAATTAGTTCCCACGGACACTGCTATAGTGGCCAGCCATGTACAGAAATAATCTCATACGTGTGAATTTTTAGATAATTGATTTTCAAATGGATGCTCTTCTGTTCTGGGCCCTGCCTGTCCTTTTCAGACATCCGGGAACTGATCGAGGTGGATGACGTGATGGAAGATGATTCTCTGCGGTTCGGTCCCAATGGAGGATTGGTATTTTGCATGGAGTACTTTGCCAATAATTTTGACTGGCTAGAGAGCTGTCTTGGCCACGTAGAGGATGACTACATCCTTTTTGACTGTCCGGGTAGGTTAGAAATTTGAATATAATTTCCCTTGAAGTCATGCTGGTTCTGTCCTCAGTGGGAGAAAGTGCGGTGAGCATTCGTCACTCTGAACTATACAGACTGCAGTAAAGCAAGAAGCTCTTGTTCGTTGGCTCTATTTCATTCATTGAGTTTACTGAGTGCTTAACTTTGTACCCTGGGTATACCACAGAGAGCCAGGCAGCCATGGTCTCTGCCCTCGTGGAGCTCACAGTCAGGTGGCAGCGCTAGAGAGTATAAACAAAAATCACCCAAATGTTATTTAATATTTGTGACAGGTGCCCCACAGGAGTAGCACAGACCATCACGCAGCAGGGAGGTTAGAGGCGGCTTCTAATCCAGTGTCCTGTAAGCTGGGCCACAGGGTGAAGATGAGGGAGACCATGGTCCAGGCAGAAGTCACAGCACACTGCAGGCCTAGGGGCAGGAAGTAATGAGGTGGGTTTGAGGCCCCAAAAGGGCTGGTGTGGCCGAAACACACAGTGCACAAAGGGAAATGTCGTGAAGTGACACTGGTAGGGGACAGATAATTGCACATGACTTCTTAAGCCAAATCGTGAATTTTAGACTTGAGCTTAACTTAGCTTTGATCATCTGTAACTGTCACTTTCCCTCTTGCTTTTAATTGAACATACACACACCCACAGAAAAGTGCAGATGTCCTCGGTGGACAGCTTGATGACTATTCCCAAACTGCAACACCTCTGTAGCACTTGCTTTTTTATTTTCCTTTTAATTGAATTTATTGGGGTGACACCGGTTAACAGAATTGTAGCACTCACTTTTGATGGGCAAAAACTAAGGTGTGATGAACCTCATGATTTCATGATTTTGTGATTTGCTTCAAGAGGGCCCTTAGAATTGAATATATTACTACCAGGGGTTGACTTTGTGTTTTTTTATTTGTTTGTTTAACTGTCTTAAAGGAAAATTGTTTTTCCTATTATATCTTGATGATGTAACATATTTCCTGATCATAATAGTCTTGTGATGTTCTTCGTGTAGGTCAGATTGAGTTGTATACACACCTGCCCGTGATGAAACAACTGGTCCAGCAGCTAGAACAGTGGGAGTTCCGAGTCTGTGGAGTTTTCCTGGTTGATTCCCAGTTTATGGTGGAGTCGTTCAAGGTTTGAGGATAAATCTGTTGTCAGTATTTCAGTTACGGGTATAAGCAGATGACAGTCTCCTTTAATCACTGTGTGATTCTGGACATTTCACAGGATATATTCTAGAGTTATTTAGTATCCCTTATTAAATTATTATAATAATGTACTTTTAATTCAAATGGTAAATTATATTATATAGATTTTGGAGAACTACTTACCAAGAAAAATGAGGCAGATGTACATTATATATGTGTATTTTAAATTTTCTGAGGCCCGTTTGTCTAGTTTATGAACTGTCTAAAACTTCACTTGTCATTAATAGTGCGTAAGGAATTTTCAATAGGAAAGGTTAAAGATATCGTCTAAATTGAGATTTGTGATCACCGTAGATTAAATCTACATCTTTTTTCTCTTAACCTTTGGAAACCAAGGGCCAACCATCTGCTTAGTAGACTGTCTTTTCTTTAGGATTAGTGTTTCTTTGCCTTGAGCCAGTTCTGCTCCAATGAGGAGCAGAAGCCTCTCATGCAGAGACCAGGGAATTTTGTTGGCACCTATTGATTCATCCATCTTCCCTTTCCTGTTTTCTCCGTCAGTTTATTTCTGGCATCTTGGCTGCCCTGAGTGCTATGATCTCTCTAGAAATTCCACAAGTTAACATCATGACGAAAATGGACCTGCTGAGTAAGAAAGCTAAAAAGGAAATTGAGAAGTGAGTTCATGTCTTCCATTATCATTAGACCTCAATTGCAGAGATGAACCTTCTGAACTTTATTTACGTGTGAGGTTCTGTCCAATTGTAAATCCAGTTTCCTGATTTATTCTTCCTTTTATTCATCAGTCTCATTCTCACTTTTAAAGGTTTCTAGATCCAGACATGTATTCTTTATTAGACGATTCTACAAGTGACTTAAGAAGCAAAAAATTCAAAAAATTGACGAAAGCTGTATGTGGACTGGTAAGCCTGTTAAGTTGTTTTTTGGTGTATGTGTGTTGTTTTTTAAATGACCTGATCAGGTGTTCACCAATGTCCAGTCAGTGGCCACTGTTATGGAAACCACAGTCCAACCCTATTTCCTTGCAAAGGGGAGACGGTGGTAAGAGGCTGTGGGGTGGCCAGTAAACAGTTTAATTTAGAAGCAGTTATTAGTGATAGCCAGTAAATTAACTGATATGTCCATTATTCCAAGCCATTTTGGGAGTTCAGAACTGTCTGTGCCCTGTTGAAATTTCCAGTGGTTGTTGAATTCAGATAAATGCCTAGGAAACAGTATCTAGTTAAGTAGTAAGCTGAGTGTTCTAGTAAGTCAGACCAGAAAAATGAATGAATATTGATTTTCTGTTCTGTCTCTGTTTATTTCTACCTTCCCCCACAAATGGTTTAACCAGTATAAATGGTTATAAACCTCAAATATATAAGTTGAAAATTAAGCATGTTGCACAATTTCAGAATGACCTTTTCTGAAATCCCTAATTTATAGATTGACGACTACAGCATGGTTCGATTTTTGCCTTACGATCAGTCAGATGAAGAAAGCATGAACATTGTATTACAGCATATTGATTTTGCCATTCAGTATGGAGAAGACTTGGAATTTAAAGAACCAAAGGTAATTTCTGGCTTAGGGTGTTTATTGGCTTTTAGTCAAAATGTTTACCGGGATTCCTTGGTCTCCTGCGTAACCCCAGGAACTCAGATTAATTTTTGTGTTAGTGGTGGCAGTAACTTGGGCTTCTCTGGATGATCTCTGAAATTGACATCAGGGCCCAAAGAACAATACCAGTTTTCCTCTACCTTTTATTGAGGCAATGTTACTGATTTATGTTTCTTTGTACCTCAGAGCCTGGGGTAGATACAAAGAGGAGGTGAAATCCAATTGAACTTGGGCTGCCCTCACATATGTCAGTGGAAAGACTAATGATAGTTGTCAGTGGGGCACTATCACAGTCAATTAGTTGAAAATTGGCGTAAGTGTAAAGTCGTGTAAGAAATGCTTCTAGTCCTGGCTGGTGTGGCTCAGTTGATTGGAGCATTGGAAGGGTCATGGGTTCAATTTCCAGTCAGGGCACAAACCTAGGTTTCTGGTTTGATTGATATTTCTTTCTCACATCCATGTTTCTCTCTCTGTCTCTCTTCTCCCCTGTCCCTCTCTCTAAAAATCAATGAAAATGTCCTTTGGTGAGGATTTAAAAATAAAAATAAATGCTTCTAATGAGCACTTTATCACATGTCTGGAAATATTCTGTCAGTCGTGCCTTTTTATTTTAGGAAGTTAGAGGCCACAGTGGGAACTCGAACACTTCTCTCTTTTTTTTTTTTAATGTATCTTTATTGATTACCGAGAGAGGAAGGGAGCGGGGGGAGAGAGAAACATCAATGACAAAAGAGTCATTGATCGGCTGCCTCCTGCGTGCCCCTGACTGGGGATCAATCCCACAACCCTGCATGTGTCCTGACCGGGACTCAACCGTGATCTCCTGGATCCTAGGTCGATGCTCAACCGCTCAGCCACGCCCAGCCGGGCTAGTCATGCCTTTTGTTGCTATTTACTATTACCCATGAGCAACACCAGGAGCTAGTGCTGGGTGTTAGCTCCTTGCAGAGCATTACCTGAAAAATACGCAAACACATAGTAGGTCTAACTGAGGGAAAAATCAATGTATTTTCTATTTTGTGTTTCCTTTGTGTCAGGAACATGAAGATGAGTCTTCTTCTATGTTTGATGAATATTTTCAAGAACATCAGAATGAATAAAGAGTTTATTAAAAAGTAATTATATATATGAAGAGCTTATGACTGAACTGGAAAACATTTTCCTCAAAGGATGCAATACTAGAAAGAAAAAAAATACTACTTGGCTCTTTATCAGCAGCACACCTGAATCAAGTTCTTAGTTATTCTGAAACTGCTGCTGTTTAAAGTGGAATCTTTTAGTCTTATATTTTTACAGCATCAATTTAGATTTTAAAAGGTGAAATTGAAATAAATGCATATAGATTTGTATATAATGTAAATTAGCACTTGTGTTACAGTTAAAACCAGTCTTTATTTTTTCTTTATTTTTTGTTATTTTTGAAGGTTTTTTGGAGGGGCAGGAATTATTGTAACAAAATATACATATGTGTTTCCAAAGGTAAACATCTGTAAGAATATAGATAAGATGATTGTTTATCTGTCTTCCAGTTTTCCACCACTGAAAATGTATTATTTGTATAATTAAAAAATAAAGTGATGTTTTAAGACATGTATGTATATAAATAAAACAGCACTCACCTTTCATTACACTCTGTTCTTTCAGAATTTGAAATAGTAAATTTTCCCAAGTAGGAGAGCCTAACATGGCTTAATGTACTGGTTGGATGCCAGGCACTGGGCATAAAATGGGAGCTAGCAGGACAGAGAAAACCTTATTCTCATGGAGCTGACATGTTGAGCCCTTGAGACTAATGGTGAACAAGGAAACCTCTGATAAGGAATGGGAAGAAGAAACAATAATGAAAGTGAGAGTGCTAACAGGCTAGTTTGGGATCATTGTCTAAAAAGGCCCTTCCTAAAAGGTGCTATTTGGCCAGAGACCTAAATGAGCAATCAGCTGTGGGAACATGGGGCAAGGTAGTTCCAGTCCAAAGGACTGGCAGAAGAAATGGCCCAAAGCAGCAATGAACTTGGCTTTTAACATGAGGTGCTTTCTAGTAATAAGTTAAAAATTCCCGAGCCTTTAGTATGTTCCAGGAATTTAAGTTCTAAGCATGTTCCATGCGGTTGATTGATCCTCACAGCACTGAAGTGAGGACTGTTATCTCCAATTCCAGGTGAGGAAACTGACACACGTGCAGTACAGAGTAATGCACAAGTCCCTGGTCACTGTGCTCTCCTTTCCCCATTTTTAAAACCAGTCGATTAGGTTCATTCAAAAATTTATTGATGCTTGTTATGTACGGACACGGGACACACCCAGCAGTGAACAAAATGGACAAAAGTCTGCCTTTTTCACCTTCACATGGATGGGAAGATGAATGCCAAAAGTAAACTAAGGAAAATAATCATCAGAGGGAAGGCAGGGTGTGGAACGGGGTTGAATTTAAACTAGTGCGACCCAGGTAACGTTTCACGGGGACTTGTAACCCAGCACCCAGCACCAGCTCCAGGCCTCACGCATGCGCGACACTCAGCCCCTATCCGGGGCTGGCGCGCCCCCTGGCGCCCCTGCGCAGCCGCGGCAGCCGGCGGCCGAGNNGAGCCGCAAGGCCGGAAGTGCTCGCCCTCCCCTTCCGGTTCACTTCCGCCTGCCCCGCCCGAGCGCCAGACCGGAAGCTCCTCTCACTGAGCCGTTCCTCCTTATTGGGCTGAAAACTCAGGAGCCGTCAAGATGCCGGTAAGGAGCCCGAGTCGGGGAGATGGGGTGATGGCGAGAAGTGGGGGGAGCGGTGAGCGGGCCGAGCTGGTGAGAGAGGAAGCGGGGGCCAGAGAAGGGGAGAGGGGAGGGAGCCGGTTCCTGCAGGACCGAGGCGGCCC